GTACACGACCACTGATAGGAGACGCGGAAGGTATTAAACTGATAAAATAGTACTAAACACACCACTCCTATCTGGTGTCACATTAGCTTGACCGCGCAGTGCCCCAAATTTGCAGTAAGAGGACCGACCAAGCCTCTTCTTCCATCTCCTGTTACAAAAATCAATGCCGTGTACACGTCCACTGATAGGAGACGCGGAAGGTATTAAACTGATCAGAACAATACTAAACACACCACTCCTTTTTTTTGGTGAGGTTTTACAGGACAGAGTGCTTCTCCACGGGACATGTTAACTCACGGGCAGTTGGCTCATCAAGGAACCAGAGCAGCTTTCCATGTACAGGTAAGACACGTGCAGCCGGTAAGGGTTCAGGCTCTTCTTCCTGGAGGATACGCTGCAAGCCTGTTGAACGAGGTGACCTTGCTCGGGTCCCAGGTGTACGGTTCCTAAAATGGCTGCCATATACACGCCCACTGATAGGAGACGCGGAAGGTATTAAACTGATCAGAACAATACTAAACACACCACAAATAAGGTTTCTCTCCTGTATGGCTCCTCAAATGATGCTTAAGATTAGAAGCGGCTGAAAAGCATTTCTCACACTCAGAACAAAAATATATTTTTTTAACATTCTCTCCACTTTGAACGAAATGACGTTTGGGAAGAGATTAACATAATTAAACACAGGCAGTAAAAATACAGTTTTAGCCATACCCTGTAACTTTAAAACTACACATCCCATCTTCATAATTACATATTTGGAATCAGCACACTTAAACATAAACATAACCAAAAATCAGCCAAATCCATCCAGGGGTTAAAAAGTTAGCTGGAGGTCCCTTTATGACCGACCGCAAGCACATTTTCCTGCCCAAAACAGTTCCATAGATTTGGGCTGTGAGGTCGGTCTACTTCAGGCTGAAAAAACGACTAAGTCCCATCGCGAATGGGACTTAGTCTCTGCAGCTGAAATAAGGCTGAAAAAAACGGCTGAAAAAAAGACTACCGTATATACTCGTGTATAAGTCGATCTCATGTATAAGTCGAGTGCAGTTTTGTGACCAACAATTGTGAAATATGCTATGCCTCGTGGATAAGTCGAGGGTAAAACTTGGGGCTATGAAATTCTGTGATTTTTACAATTATATACACACACACACTCTGCATTATATACACACACTCTGCATTATATACACACACTCTGCATTATATACACACACACTCTCATACAAACACACACTCTGCATTATATACACACACTCTGTGTATATAATGCAGAGTGTGTGTTTGTGTAGTGTGTGTGAACTGGGTGGGGGAGGGCATTTTTATTATTTAAATTTTTTTTATTTTAATATTATTATTTTTTTATTATTTTAATTTTATTTTGTCCCCCCTGCCTGCTTGTTAACTGGTCAGGGAGGAGGGCTATCTTAATCCCTGGTGGTCCAGTGGCATGGGCTGTGAAGTGGGGGGGCCGGCAGGAAGCATTTACTTACCTTTCCTGCAGCTCCGGTCAGCTCCCTTCTCCTCCGTTCCGGTCAGCTCCACTGTCTGGTTGCCGCGCGGATCGTTGCCATGGCTCTGACGGCCGCGGCTCTCTAAGTTGTCATAATACAGACATTGACTCGAGTATAAGTCGAGTGGGGGTTTTTAAGCACAAAAAATGTGCTGAAAAACTAGACTTATACTCGAGTATATACTGTAAGTCCCATCGCCGAATGGGACTTAGTCTCTGCAGCTGAAATAAGGCTGAAAAAAACGGCTGAAAAAAAGACTAAGTCCCATCGCCGAATGGGACTTAGTCTCTGCAGCTGAAATAATTTCCCATTTACTGAACCAAGGGGGAAATAGCAAGGCAGGCACAAAGGGTTTGCACCAGGTCTGGGGACACAGGGGACACCTTCTTAAAGGGGCCGTGTCCCCAACAAGTCTGGGGACACGGCCTTAAAGGGGCAGTGTCCCAATCTTCCTGATGTCCCAAAAAAGGTGTTTAAAGGCCAGCACCAGTCACATAAAGAGTCCATAAGCCCCAATATGCCCACCGACAGTCTTAAAGGGCCATACACACCAAATAAAAGTGCATACATTTTCACAATCTCCCAGGGGCCATAGTCATGCGGGAGGAGGCTGGCAAGTAGGCTTCTCCACAACCCAGGGAAGCATGGCAATTTGCCATTTAAAGGGCCCGTTACAAATAGCAGTTTGTAACAAGGTGTCAATCCATATCTGCCAAGTGACCCGATGTAGGGGACCAGTCCCTATTCTGCTCTGTGTCAGTGTGTATCAGGGAACCTTAGGACAGGTGTCAATCCATATCTGCCAAGTGACCCTATGCAGGGGGAACAGTCCCTATTCTGCTCTGTGTCAGTGTGTATCAGGGATCCTTAGGACAGGTGTCAATCCATATCTGCCAAGTGACCCTATGTTGGGGTAACATTCCCTATTCTGCTCTGTGTCAGTGTGTATCAGGGCTACTTATGACAGGTGTCAATCCATAT